GCTACAGCCTAGCCTCATTCCCTCTCTCCTTGGGTTAATGCATTGACTCCCCTCCCCCCCCTTTAATTTGATAATAAAAAAGTTTTTTAACCCTGTAGCTTCTGGGTGGCACCAACACCTGTTAAAAAGGGCCAGACTAGGTCAGACCAGTGGTCCATCTAGCCCAGTATCCTGTCCCTGACAGTGCCGGGGTGGATACTATAGAGGGGAAGCATTGCACTGGATATATCTAGAGTGATCTATCCCCTATTAGTTGCCCTCTGTGGCATCCACCAGGTTTGGGGTGGGGAGGCCAGAGGAAACATGTCCAACCTCCCTGTTGACCCTCAGATATATTCTGAGAACTAAAGAAGGTTGGAAGAACTAGTTCCACTACAGTTCAATGCTCCCAACCACCCATGTAGATGTTTTAATAAAATAATACATACATAAAATAAAAAAAATGCATTAATCAAATAATAATTCAGCAATTGTAATGATAATACCTAATCATATATACTTTTATGATGCAACATATATATAACATACACTGTAATATATGTACACTAATGGTTCTTGACCTCTTGAGACTTCTGACATTTCTGATGGGTGCCTTAACTGTTTTCCACTAATTTTTTGACTACAGAAACGCATAGTAGAGCAGGTTTTCTGTTTCAGAGAACTTAGGAAGATCACACCAGGGCAGATAGTTTGGGGTTTTTTATTATTATTTTTTTAACAGTGTGGATTCCTCTTTGAAATCTCTGCGTTTATCTTGTGAATCATATCTGCACATTTAACAGTGCTGACATTGTGTGGCACCCTGGAAAGGATCTCAAGGCATCGTAGGGTACTGTGGCACCCTGATTGAGAATCATTAAGATACACAATATAGTGTGTGTGTGTGTGTATATATAATACATTGTACATTTATATTCTATATGTTCTGTATACATTATATTACAGTAAAATCTCTATTATCCAACATTCCCCAGGAATGGGGGATGCTGGATAACAAAATATGCCAGTTAATTGAGCGGCCCAGGCCATCGCTTCTCCTGCCACATCTGGGTCACCCTGCCGCCCCTCCCGTGGCATCGCTGCCCCTCATGCAGGCACTGTGGGACAGGGAGGTGGGACCCGCACAGCCCCACACAGCTTGTTATACCACTGGGCCGTGGGGGCTCAGAGAAACCAGGAAGTGCCACGGTAGGCACTTCCGGTTTCACTTTATCTTACAAGCTGGCATGCTGGTTAATTGAGCATGCTGGCTTGTAAGGTGCTGGTTAACAGAACTTTTACTGTAATTGAATATAATCATTACATACAATGATAATGCTGAGTTTTAATAATTCAATAATTCATTTATTATTCATCAATAATAAATCCATCAAATAATAATTAATACATTATGATAGCAATCTAATATACACTATAATAAAAATAAAATACAATTAAACACAACTATATGTAAGCCATATAATAAATTATATAAATATGTAAATAAATATGCAGACATATCACTATGGTAATATAATATAAATTATTAATAGCTGAATATAGCATAATTGAATGCACTGTAATACTCAATTACTATAGTTCAATTACTTTATCTGTAAATAAATTCATAAAAGAATAAGCAGTCAGCTATAGCTATAAGGCCTGTGTGAAGTGGCTAGCATTCACTTTGGATTCGGACAATTCGGGGGACAGTGATTCGATTCGGCCAAATCTGATTCAGAAATTCAGCGGGAGCTGAATCTGAATCTCTGAATCAGCCAGGCCAGGCCCATCCTTCGCTCGCTTTCCCAGCCTGGCAATGGCTGCCCTGCCTGCCCCAGCCTCTGTCTCTTTTGAAAAGCAGGTGCTGCCATGCAGGGGGCGATCCCTGCTGCTCCTCGCTGCCCACCATTGCCCCACGCTGTGTTGGGGGGGCTCTGCACGAGCCCCTGACCCCCCCTCCCCTGGCTTCCCCAACCCCGCCGCCCATGGGTGCCCTGCACAGGCCAGCTCCAGCCCTTAAAAAAAACAAACAAACCTGAAGAAACCCCAGGACTCACCGCTCCTGCAGGCAGGGGGGGTGGGGGTGCTCCCCGCTGCTCCCCGCCATCTGGGGGGCGCTGCACAAACCCCCAAAGCCCCGAGGCTGCACCAGGAGCGGTGAGTCCTGGGGCTTTTCTGTGCTGTTTTTTCTTAAAGGGCCAGAGCACCGGTAGGCGGGGCGGCTGCAGGAGCGGGGCAGGGGGTTTGAGGGGGCTCATGCAGAGCCCCCTATGCAGCGTGGGGTAGCGGGGATCGCCTCCCCCCGCCCAGCAGCACCCGGTGAGCACCAGGAATCATCTTTTCTCAAGATTCAGAGAGCTTTGAATCGATTCGGACCTTTAAATTGGTCCCCTGATTCAATAAGGATTTGGATATTCTGCCACTGTATCAGGCTGAATCTCCTCCAAATCGAATCACCACCCAAAGCTTTGCACAGTCCTAATAACTATATAATATGTGTATAATATAATCCTGTATGGCATCATATCATTATAATATATGATGCAATGTAATATGTAACTACTATATATTATGTATAATATATAATGTATTGCACACATTCCTAATGAAATGCAATAATTATTGAATTATAATTCAATAATTCTTCAATTCATTTACTATTCATCACTAATACATTCATCAAATAAGCTACTACATTAAGTACCGAAATACAGTAAAGCTATAGATGACTACCTGGTACAGGTAAAGTCTAGAAAATAGCTGATTAATCAGGGGTGCTCAACATCAGGCCCACAGGCCACATCTGACCCACAGACTTTTGCCCAAGCTGTAGCTGCAATGAGGGAACCTTTCCATGGCTGTAGCTAAGCACCTTGAATGCCAGGCCCCTTTCCACTAGGCCCCAGACCCCACAGGGCTGGTGCTGCATCTGTCACAGGGGCTGTGGGACCCTTCTGGCTCATGGGACAGTACTGTACATCTCATCTGGCCAGTGGGTCCAGACACACTTGTATCCCTGGATTAAACATTTGTCAAGGTCCCAGTTCTCTAAATGCCAAATAATCTTACTGCAAATTGAACATAATTTCAACTTCATGTTTCTATGCCTAGCAGGCTTCAAAGCCTGGTAAGGCAGTCCAGTAGGGGAAAGAATTTCTCACCTAGGTTTCCAAAGAAAATGGCTCTGGGTTGGTAAGGAAGAACAAGAGTTCAAGGCAGAAGAGCCAAGATTGTGAGATGAGCCCAGACTTGTTTATACTCTGTTATTTGCCTAAAATAATCCAGATGTTTAGAAAGCATTCCAAATAGGAGTTTCTTTCATGAATAATCATAGATGGGGCAGATCCCCAAGACTGTGAGATGAACCTGGATTATTCTTTATACTCTAACTTGGCAAGAATAGCCCAAAGCTTCCTAAATAAAGCAAACTATACAGAAACATTCCAAAGAGTGATTCCTCTAATGAATATTCATAGGTGGGGCAAATCCAGAGTGGTGTAGTGGTGTGGTTGGCTCCTCCCCTTGGATTCTTTGTTCATGCAAAGTTTAAAACCAACTGCTTGGCAGTGGCATTGGCATTTCTATTCAGGCTGTAGTGAGGGAATCACTTGGCTTCATGGCTCATTATCATCTACCTGATTCCTGTTAATCTCATTACTTCATAGATGTGAATGTCCATCTCTCCCTTGTCATAGAATCATAGAGAAGCTGGGCTGGAAGGAACCCACATATTTTGATTATTTTTGCCTACTTGGTTGCAGTTTTTTATATACAACAGATGATAAAGCAGATTCATGTTCATTCCTATAACATATTTGTTTCTGTTTTAATCTTAAACTGGATAACCTACCTTGGCCCTCCTAGCAGATGAAGAAAGCCTCAAGTTTCTTTTTAACTGGAAAAAAATGTGTGGAGATAGTGCCTCTCTACAGAAAGCACAGGCCTGGATTGCTCATCTGGTATGAGTGTGAGTATAAGACTTAATCTCAGTGTCATGGGTTTGAGTCCCACATTGAGTGCACATCATCTCTTTTGGCAAATGAACAGGGGCAGCAAACAGGGAAGCAGTTTGCAGGTCAGTTTTCTGCCCCCCTCTTTGAAGGGGAGACTTTAAGCTTGGTGAGAGGAAGCAGGGATAAAGGAAACTTTCAGGACGAAGGACAGTAAACAGTAGGGCTGTGCGAGGCTTTGGACAGAGCTTCAGATCCGGAGAAGCTTCGGATGCTTCGGGGTCTGAAGCAGCACATCTGGGTCGAAGCGCTGGCCTCGTTCGGCTTCCTGAAGTGTTTCGGAGCTTCCAAAGAGCTTAGGAGCTCTGGCCATAGGGTATAATAGGGAAAAATAAAATATCTATAACTTTGTTGTTTTTTGTTCTATTTGTATGACATTTTTAGGGATGGTAGACTGCAGAGAGGATGAAGTGTGCCAAATTTCAAGAAAATCAGTGCCGGAGTTTGGGGGTAACAGCACCCTAAATTCTTGAAAGCAAAACTCATGTCATGTCTAGGCGGTACAACATATCTGGGTGAAAACTGCAGGGGTGGGAGCCTATGCTGAGACCACAAAGCCTGCCAAATTTCAAGACGACAGGTACAGGGGTTTGGGGGCAACTGTACCCCAAATTATTGAAAGCAAATCTCCTGTCACATCTATGTGTTACAACACGGTGGGGTGGGGTCAAAACTGCAGGTCTGGTAGCTTGTACTGAGACCACAAAGCCTGCCAAGTTTCAAGAAGATCGGTGCAGGGGTTTGGGGGGAACTGCCCAGCCGTGGGCAGTAACACACAGCCGTGACATGAGTTTGGCTTTCAAGAATTTGGGGTACAGTTCCTCCCAAACCCCTGCACCAATCTTTTTGAAACTTGGAAGGTTTCATAATCTCAGCAGAGGCTACCATCCCTGAAAGTTTCATTCAAATCATCAGGCACCTGCCAGATGCTGGCTTCCCAAATGTGACTAGAGGGCTCTGGGTGCAAGGGTGAAGGGGAGAGGGGCTCAAGTGGTGTTTGTTCTCTTTGATCCTTCCAGTCAAGGGAAGGGACTGGGCAGGAATGGTTGTATCCTGCAGATCAATGCCTGGCTGAACTAGCAGGGCTTTGGCTTCTTCAAGAACAGGATGTTGTTCCAAGAAGAAGGATTGCTAGGGAGAGATGGCATGCATCTGATGAAGAGAGGAAAGAGCATTTCACAGACAGGGTTGCTAACCTAGTGAGGAGGGCTTTAAATTATGTTTGCAGAGGGATGGAGACCAAATCCCTGAGGTAATCAGGGAAGTGGGTGACCTGGAGGAAGCACAAGCAGGAGGGGCCAACAGGGGAGGCCTGCTTATTCTTTCTGAGAAAGTAGGGCAATCGGCTAGTTACCTCCGGTGTCTGTACACAAGTGAATGAAGCCTGGCAAACAAGCAGAAAGAATTGGAAGTTCTCGCACAGTCATGGAACTATGACATGGTTGGAATAAAAACGATTTGGTGGGATAGCTCACATGACTGGAGCACTGTCATGGATGGGTACAAACTATTCAGGAATGACAGGCAGGAGAGAAGAGGAGAAAGTTGCACTTTATGTAAAAATCTATATGATTGCTCGACAAGGTTCCTTGGGTGAATTTGCTATCTTTTATTAGACCAACCCAAATGGTTGGAGAATAGTTATTAAGCAAGCTTTCGGGTTCAAAAACCCTTCGTCAGGCTCAGGAAGCTGCAGCAGTTGGTGTGTGCTCTTCCTGGATGGAATGAAAAGTAAACCAGCCAGGGGCTTGGCCTGGCTGGGGAGTCAGTTGCCAGGCAGATTATAATGTATCAAAAATCCAATGTCTATGTTTAGTCCCTGATCTCTAGTAGCCAGCAGGTTGATGAAATGGAGCTCATAGGCTCGTCTCTGGGATGTGTTGTGTAAGTTTCCCTTGAGGATCAGGACTGAGAGATTGGAGAGAGAGTGGCCCTCCTGTGAGAAATGTGCCCCCACCGGTAATTGGGTGTTTCTGTCTTTGATGGATTTCCGGTGTGC